GCACAAAAAGGGAGATGGAGAAGAGGGGGAGAGGGAGATGGAGAAGATGGGGAGAGAAAAAGCAAAAAAAAAAAAAAAATTTGTGCACGCCATGGCTGCTGGTTCTCTGACTTCGAGAGGGAGAGGGGGAAGGTGAAGGGGAGTAGAGGGGGAGAGGGGAGCAGAGAGGGAGAAGAGGGGAAGAGAAAAAGAAAAAAAAAATTGAACAAGGCTGCTAGTTCGTCGGAGGCAGAGGTAACGAGGGAGGGAAGGGGCAGGGGGAAGGAAGAAGAAAAAGAAGAAGAAGAAGCGGAAAGAAAAGAAAAAGGAAAGAAAGAAAAAGAAAAAAAAAGTTTTTCATCTTAAAAAATTTTTTCAAAAACTTCTACAGTGCACTACAGTAAAGTTTTAGACAAACTTCTAAAAAACTCAGATTCCAAACGAGATATTGGAAAAGAAGACATCAAAGAGAAGTTTGCATGTTATAAAGTCAAATTAGAATATGGCATACTTTTCCTTAGAAATGTCTTTTGACAAATGATTTTTTCCTACCATTATATGAATTTCTCAAAACTTATTAGAAATTATGTGCAATTTATGCTATCTAGGCCCTTTTACTAGCCTCGAAGATTCATTAGATTGCTTGTTCCATATAAGTTCATCATATAGTTCTTCGTGCGCAAGTGTTAAAAGAGTAGCAAATTGGAACAGACAGCCCCTTTTGGAATCTAGGGCCATCTGAAGAATCAGAGTCATGCCATGTTTGTGGATCAAGGCTGGGAGAAAAGGAAACTCTCAATGATCATGAACAATCAAACGGAGAGAGTTGGAGTAACCAAATAACTGAGCCTGATCAGTCCTCACTCTTGAAAAATGCTGCAATGTCTGGATCAAATTCAGCTTGCAAGACAGCATCCTCTGCGAACTACATTAAGAAGCAAAATGTGCATGGTAAGATTCTTTCAACCATGCGTTCGCTTTGTTTGATACTCAATAGACTTCAAACATTATGACTCTAACTACTTTTATTCCATGGTAATTATTGGTGCCGTGTCAATTTATTTGTGAACACTGTAACATTTTTTGTGACAGGAGATCATTTGAAAATTTTATTTAAAATAGCATTGTAGTGCTCTTTATGATGTAATATATTTTAGATAAAAACGTAGTTAGGAGTATAAAAAGGTGATTGAAAAATGCGTATACGATGTAAATGGAATAATATTTTTTTTAAAATCTTGTATCCAAACGCACTCGATCTTAAATTTTCAATAGTAATTTACCATGCAAAATATTGGTATTGATTTAGTCAAACAAGGTCATATGCATCATCAACCAACCAGGCCATGGAGGTTTGGCAGTACTTATATTCAGTAGTCTCTTTTATAGAAGTTGTACATACCAATTGAAGCTAATTTTAGACGGCTCCATTCATGGCGAACAAGATGTTGCCTTTTCATTAACAGAAATTGTCCAACCTCCTCTAGGGTTTCTTACCAAACGAAAAAGGCCAGTGGTTGAACGACTACTTTCGCCCCCTCCCGAAAGAATTCCAGAACAAATTTGCAATGATCTGCAAGGTTTAGCAATCTCTCGGAGTCAGAGTAAAGATGGAGAAGATGTACTAGTATATCAGCGTGCCAATCATTACATACCAGAGAACGAGATTGGCCTCGGATGCATGGTGTTACTACAGTCGGCTGTTTCTCCTCCCATAGACTCTAGGACAGAATTTCCAGCCGTGTCCGCAATCAATGCTCGTTCTTCCAAAAAATCTAAGCCAAAGCCATCAACTGGAGGCAGACGGCGCGATTCTTCTCCGGCGAGCCACGAAGTAAAAGCTTCACCTGGGCTCAGACCACCTGTGTTTCCTTCCAAGGTTTCTAAGGATTCACTCGTGCCCCGATCACATGCTTCTCTTTCTAAGGATACCAAACTGGATTCTCGAGAAGTTCTTAGATTTCACAAATGAAGCAACTCGGCGAAAATGCTCATCTCAAGAAAACAACAATTCATTGACTGATGTTCCTGTAAAAGAAGAGTCTCAGTAGTGTGCTTATTTTATGTAATGAAAACAAATTTATCTTTCTCTTATCCTGATTATGGTACTTTGTATTAACTTATACTGGATCTTTACTAGTTTTAAATGTGTTTTTAATATCATTTTCTAGTACTGTTATTGTCAATGTGGATTTTTGGGATCCAATGTATTGATTTTGGTCTGCACGTTTGATAGTCTCATAGTCGTTGTTCTTCTCACTTTCTCTGGACAGAAATCTTTGAACTTTACCTAATAGCAGCAAAAGTGGCTAAGTTACCAGCAGAAACCATAATTGTGAGCTTAGCAGTGTGGATTTGCACAATAATACGACGTAGACAAATTAACAACGAGGATAGAGGACAGGCCCCTTCTCATTTATTGGATGTTGTTAATGACACAGACCGGGGGATGAACTTGTAGCTATTGGTCAACTTGTGGAAGAGTGCATTTGGGGAATTCTCGGCAGCTAAAGCCAGTTGTTTATCCTTTAGCAAAATAATAGAACTGAAGTACCATCAAACTGGATCAAGCTCAAAAAACTTGTCTTTAGCAATCATGGGTTTTTTAAAAAAATTGCTTGAAGACTGGGAACCGGAAGTCATTATTTTTTATTGATTTAGTAGAGAAAAAAAAGGAATGTTTGTAGAGAAAGATCAAATCCCATTTTGCTAGACAGAGGAAAAATTTCAGTGTAAGAAGTCCATTGCCAACACTTCTCTTTCTTTTCTTCAATCATCACCAGCCAACTATAGCTGTCAAACAAACCCATTTAATTAAATTTATCCATACCCGTCCATGAATAGATGGGTATGAATATCTTAAATTTTTGTATATGGGTATAAATAGGTTACCCAATAATACCCATTTAAATGGGTATTATTGGGTAACCCATCAAATTTAATTAACCTATTTAGAATTGTCTTCCCCCCAAATCTCCTCTCTTTCCTCACTCATTTTTTTTCAAATTTTTTATTTTGTCATGATATTAATTACTTTTGTTCATTATTATTATTATTATTATTATTATTATTTGTTGGTTTTATCTTATCATTTTATTTTATCTTAGTTTGTTAATTTACTCATTTTTCAGCATTACTAATTTATGACAAGTTTTAACCTCTTTTCTTACTTTTTCAAAATAAAATTTTAAATTTACACATGAAAAAATGCTAGAGGTTCAAAATTTTTGAATTAAATTTTTATGTTAACTTTTATAGTACTTAGTTCAAATTTTTATATTCTTATTGTTTAATTATTAAATAGTATGTAATTTTGCGACACAGAGTACAGATGGGAAAAAATTTGATAATTAGACTTATTGTGCATTATAAGTAAATATTTAAAACTAATGATGGTTGCAAATGATGGTATAAATTGATAACTTAGTTTGCAAAAATGAATTTACAAAAAGTTAAAATGAATGGGTTGTAAATGGGTAATTGGATTACCCAATTTATTTTTTGACTTATTCATTTATATCCATCTAATTAAATGAGTATAAATGGGTTGACTCACTTATACACATTACCCATTTTATCCAATTCAAATCCGCTCAAATCATCCATTCTGACACCTTTGCAGCCAACCACAAAAAGAGAGAGAGATAGAGAGAAGGTTATTAATCAGGCAAATCTGTTAAAACGTGGATTTGGGCACAAACGATTGTTAGGTCAATCGTTTTTGTCTGTTTTGTCCAATTTTACAACATGTACATTTATTTTTTCAAGGTGTAATTCATTTTGAACATAATGTAAATATAAAAAAATTTTGTGACTCTCATGCATGATGTTAAAAATGACATACATATAATGATTTGACTCTTATTTTTTTTTGATCAATCATGACCATGAACCTTTCAAGGACGGTCATTTTGATGATTGCTCCTGTCGCAGAGCCATTAAAATGTACTTGTCTTCAGCTTAAAGTTAAATCGAATAATATTGGTGAATTACGTACTAAATCAAATGAAATGATGTCAGAGACAATTTTGATGCTGCAATAGAGAGGCTGCTTTCCATTTACTAATGCATAGGAAGCAATTTCTAAACATAAGGCACCATAGCTAAGCATCTTTCTCGGTTATAAGCCACTTAAATTAATTTCTTAATTTCAGTTTCACCCAATACAACATTTTAGTTAAGAATAAATCAAATTTTTTTTTCCAATTTCAACCATTACGAATTTTTAGGAGAGGGTTTCTAGTATTTGACACTTTTCTAATTTTTAGGTGAGATTTACAGGTATTTAAAACTTTTCTAGATGAAGTTTTTTGAAATTGGAATTGCATGCTACGATTTATTTACCATACCGAAAGGCGAAAACAAGCAAGAGATGAAGCAGTAAATTCTAGTTGTAGTACTTCCTAATAATTTCTTTGTCATTATGACCAGTGATAAAAAACCACCCGTTCAAAGGTTGGTGGCCACCATCAATACATTAAAACTTGGTAGAGTGGGACACCAATTTTCCATATTACTAGGAGGCATAAACCGTGCTATGCACGGTGGGAAAAAGGATGAAGATGCCCAATTTAATAAAATAATTTGTACTAATTCAAAATGGATCATTAATGAGATTTGTTTGTTTTTTGATAGAATTTAGTTACAAATAAACCAAAATTAAAGTAAACTTTCATCTAAGTATGAATCATGTAAAAAATAGTAAGTGTTACTCTCATTAAAGAACCAAAATATTATAAAACTTTGTCTAAGTTATCAGCTGCACTTGCTATTTCAAGGGTAGGTTGCATTATGATTTAATTACAAGGTCCATTAATATGCATCATTAGAGCTTAGATTTTACTTCCCATGCTCTCAATCATTTTCAAGATTAGAAAAAAAAAAATTGGAGGAGAGTTAATAAGGCTGTACGCAGGAAAATGCAAAATAGTAAAAGCCAAAGTGAGTAAGAAAAAAAATGAATGCGACTTCATCCCATTTGGTAGAAACAAAATACTTCATCCCATTTGATTGTAAACAAAGGTACAACAGCCGTATAATCAATGTTTCAATTCATATGGCATAACAACCATATAATCAATGTCTCAATTCATATCAGCCAGCAATAAGTTTCCTCACTTATCAACCTACAAATTGCATACAACAAATCTTAAATCTGAATAACATCCACCATACTCATGGTTAACTAAGTACTATGGCTGATATCAAAGCACGTACATAAATAAGATAATATCACATTTGTGAAGACTATGGTTGGGGACTTTGCTTAAAAGAAGTAATAACAACCAGGAATTGCCGAGAATCCGGCCAAGCAAACTTATTGAAATGTTTGACAGCAATCCAAGAGGCGTCATCTTCAAGCTGCCCTTTGTAGACAACATTGCGAGCTCTATCTCCATGTTCTGATACAATGTTTTCAATTGAGAATCTTGAAGGTGCCATCTTTAGCTCATCTAAACTGCATTCTTTAAATGCTGGCAGTTTCATCCTCGCATTTTCTCCGCATTTCTCTAAAATCCCAGAAGAAAAAAAATCAGAAAAAGGGAACAAATATTACATTTTTATACGTTTAACAGAGTTTTAAGAATTACCAAGATCAGAGGAATAAGGGACCACAGGTTTTGAAGCTTTAACAATACCAATGGCTTTGCATGGCCTTCATAGTCAATCCCATGAACAGCAAATTCTACTTTTGCAAGACGATTCCAAGAGCTGTTATAGCCATGAGAAAATCATAAAACACAAAACAAAATCTAAACCTAATCAAAGATTCCAAGTTAGTTCCTTTACATTTCTGATCATTTTCTTTAAAGCTTCCACAATCATTTTCCTATTTCGCAAACAGAACACGAAAATAAAGATCAATCTGCAAATGCCTTATATATAGCGCATTTCCTAAAATATTAAAAAAACTAAAAAGGACAATTTTTTTCAAGTGAATCACGATGATATACCTTGATGGAAATTTGTCGGTCACTCTGGAGTTGCTTGAACTTGTTAACCTTTTTCTTCATTGTCTTCTTCGAAAGCAAAGGCACCGCCATCGTTGCTGATTCTTCTTACCTTTTCCCTCCTTAACCTGCACATTTCACACACAAATCACAATCAGCTATCGATCTACAAGCGTCTGTAAAAAATAGCGCAGTACGGGGAAGAAGAAGAAGAGGAAAGCTGCGGCATGTTTATTAGTGAGCCAAAAATCAAAGACTCTAAAGGGAAAAAAAAAGGGAACAACCAAAAACCCAGATTTAGTAATAAAACTTAAGAGTGAAAGGCAATAAAATCAGTATCTCCATCTTCACAGCTGAAAAGAAGAAACGAAATAAAAAAACAAGAAAAAAAGGGAACAAGAAAAAACACAGATCGGGGAAACAAAAACCAAAGGCTCAAAACATCAGCGCACACCCGACGGAAACAACGAATCCTTAAAAAAAACCCATAAGCCACCTGAAGATCGGTGAAATCGACCAAGAGAAGTAAATGGGATAAAACAAAAGATTTTCTAACCCAAAAGCTATGCAAAGGCCTACCAAAAATCTCAAACTTTGAGCTAGAAATGATGCCCACAACACACTCCGGGGAATTTCAATACCAGCTGCATCCATCCCCAGCCCCCATTCACTCTATCTTTCAAGCACAAACATTAGCAAACATAGCCAATAAATCAACCAAAAACGTGCAATATGCTCAGAAACAATTAATCAGTCTCTGTCAGAAGAAGATTCTCCTCTCCAAGCATGTAATGAATATGAAAAATTAATAAAAAGAGAAGCTCTTGTGCAACAAAGATTTGTAAAAAGTTAAAGGCCAACTTAGGCATTTGTAAATCATAGTTAGCACTCAAGACCAGTACGAAGTCATATAAACTACTAACGCTAAAAACAGAATAAGCAAAGGCTAATGTAAAGCAGATTACATGCAAACATTAGTATCAGAGAAATAAAATGAACAACCAGTAAAAGACATTTTTGAATATCTGTACAGGTGCCAGCTTAGGTGGAAGCATTAAGCCAGTGCCATCACCATGAATCATGACAGTACCTCCAACAATTCACATGCTAATAACCCATGATGTCTGCCACACATATTGCCTTTGTCCATTTTCATCTGTAAACTAAACAAGCAGAAAGACTGTTTAGGGAATTGGACCTTTCATATTTCAAATACCACAAATAGAAAAGCCAAAAATTGATGCAAAACAACTATATATAGTAGGATATTTTGCAAAAGTCTTCAGCAATGAAAAAAGCTCAATAAATTTTAGCATCATCGTCAATTACACCAATTGCACAGCCTGTAGAAAATCACTGAAAAGATAAAATGGTAAAACAAAAATTTTCTCAATACACAGTACAAAATGATGACAGACACCTTTTTAACTTGCATACAAGCAATCCTGTTGAGAAACGATCGCACAGTTCAGAAAAGCACAGATCCAGAACATAACTTGATCAACAACTACACCTTTTTTACAACTTTTAGGGATCTCCTAATTCCTAAAGAATAGCATAAAAATTCAATCTTAACTCATGATTAACTGCAATAACAAGTGGTCGTTGAACTTACCATGTAATCAGTGGTGATAAATGGATCATTGATAGCAAGATGACTCTAGCAACCAAACATCCAGTTCTTCCAAAGCCTGTTAGACAAAGACCCATAGTAATAAAATTACAAAAAAAGATATCACAGATCTCAACTTTGACAAAAAAAAAAAAAAGCAGAACTCATCGTCACAAAAATACACTGAGACAGAATAGCTAATCAAGAAAAGCCCCTGCGAAAAGAGGAAAAATAGAACTGTGTCCGGTGTAACTGCAGGTGGTAGTTCAAGTGGGGGATATAGGAGGTGTAGTTTTTGGCCATTTATTCATTCACTTGTGTCCACCATATAAGAAAACTCTTGTATGCCCTAAAATTTTAAGTTTTTTTAGACACAGTTTCATATACTAAAATTGAGAAAGGTACCAATGAATTCTTTGAACAACGACTTGATAATAATAATAATAATTAGTCATAAAGAAGGACAACAATTCATGAAATTCTATGATTCTTGCGGATGTTTATATATGAGATTAAATACTCTAGAAAAGATGGGAAACGGATAGGTTAAATAAAAAGAGGAAAAAAAAAAAGGAAAAGCAAAAGAAGAGGGTAAAGACTAAGAGTAAACAAAGTACGTACCTTTTGGAAAACAAACCCTTGTATAAGAACCCAAATTGCCACCATCGTCTTCTTTTTTAATTTTTTTTTCCTTTTCTTTTTTTCACAGACAGAGCTAACTGCTGAAGCATTTATCCCTCCGGCCACTCCCCTTCCTGCCAGCCGGTGGAGCAGATGATTCCGACAGCCGAAAATAACAAGAGAAAAGATGAGAACCTTCCCATTTACAATAGCAGTCGAGTACTTTTATCAGTATAAATTAATTAACAAGCAGCGGAGCTATTGGATTTGGATGAAATGAAAATAAGAGATGTCTCCCAAGTAGCAATCACAAGACCTTTGGTCTCAAAAAAAAAAAAACAAGAACAAGTCAATACCTCAAGCAAGCCGTCCAGCCGAAACCTCACCCCTCCCAAAATCAACGCCAAGAAAGAATTGAAGCGGTGGTGGTGGTGGTTGTTGTTGCGGCTTGGGGGAATTGGGGGATTTGAGAAGTGGTGGCCGAGAAGAAGGAATGGATCAAGTTTTCTATTCTGTAGATAGATGAAGATGAAAAACAAAAGAACAAAAAAGAGAATAAAGAACGAAGGAGAGGATTGGAAGCAGAAGCGGCGGAGGTCTACAGTAGGCAAAAGAAGCAGAGGAAACCCTAATATGTGAAACAGCTTTTTATTTTGGTGGTGCCTCGCACGAAGAGTTTAACGAGCTCATAAAAGACAGGGCGACCCACGTGCCGCGCACATGGGAGAACGACGAAAGTTTTGGCTGAATGCTGGTGGGACGTTATCTACTTATGTTGAAAAGTAGCTCTACATAAAAATTCAGGTGGATGCATAGTGCATCAGTCTGATTCATGGTTCAGTCTCTTTTGAATTATCTTTGTACCTCTTCGGATCCTCTTTCCCTCACCCTCAGTAGTGTAGGATAATTTATCGTATTGACCAAAAAAAAAAATCAGTGACGAAACCTTGCAATTTAATACTAATGTATTCAACAATAACCAATACACAACCGGGATATGATATCGCAAAAAGATATTTGAGGAAGAGCTGGACGCAGGAGCCAAATTGTGGCGAGCTATATTAAAAAACACGCCTTCACACCTTGCTTGAAGTTGAAATATTTTGAGTTCCCTTACTTTCCTCACTGCAATCTGCATCAAATTCGCGGATCCAAATAGTACTCAACTCATTTCTCTTCCTTCCGATTTTAACTCTCCTTTGTTGTCTCCCTCGCGGCTCGCGCCACAATGCGCTGGCCGAGCAATATTTGCACTTCAGTTCTCCGCTTCCTCGTCATTGTATTAATATCAGCCGTCAGATCAGCTGAAGCCTCAATCCACGACTACCATGGAGATCCATTCCGAGAAGTCGGCAATGCTTACCTACTCTCCGGTGGCAGCGAAGGCATCCTCGCATCTCAGTCCTCCCCTCCGTCGACACGCCGCGGATTCCACTCCGCCGTTCATGATGGTCTCTCTTACATCCGGTAATTTCTCGTTAGCAGTACACTTGGTAACTATTTTTCGAATGACTGTTTCCTTCATGCCTTTTTTTTGGGTGCAATTGATCGAGATTTGGTCAGATCTAATTAAACAGTTTGGATGCACGGGTCAAAATTTGGAGCATTTTGCTTAGTAGCCGGTGATTGGAAGAGAGTGGATATTTTAGTTCAGAAGTAGCCTTTTTTGAACTTCAGTGAGTGAAGTAGCGCGAACTCCACAAACTATGACTGGGTTTCCAAATTCAAGAATACAATTAAATTCTCGTTAGTGGCATTAAGTAAAGTTTATGAACGATCTTATCAAAATCGAGAAAGGTATAAAATTTCCTATATTCTCGGCGACTTTGTTACTTTATTGGGGCTTGTGATCCTCGGAAGCTACATAAGATGACAAGTTCTATGGGTTATTTGAGTTTGAAGTCCTGACACTGGAATTTTGAAATAATTATTTTTCTCTCTTTTAGCTTTTTTGGAATGTTTTAGTATCAGTTCCAATCTATGCTGTTGGATAAAATAGTTCTTCAAAGTCCCTGTGTACTTATGGTGGGAAATTTGTATTCTATAGTATTCTTCGAAGTTATTGCGACTGGAAAATGAGAAGGCTGGTCAATGGAAACCGTGAGTACGAGTTTACTTGGTTTTGGAGACAAAACCAAAGTTTGATGAATTAGACCTGGCCATTTTTAGTTGTTGAGCACGATAGAATTTGAAGTGTACCAAGATTTTGTAATAAATTTTCTGACCCTCGTATGCTAGTTCTGCATTTTTCTTGTTTATGTGAGCACGTTCATTAGCTCTGTTTACTGAAAGGTTAAGAATTAAATAATATAGGTTTGAGAATATCACATTTTGGAGGGGTAGATCTGCTGCAGACCAGCACCCTGAAATGGCATACAGTAGTGGATTGGTACAAGTTGTAATTTTTGAGGCAGCTGATCGGGATAATATTGGTGGTTCGCCTTATGGTGGGCAGAGGTCTATTTGCTGCACCCCAGATCTTGCAAAACTGGAAGGCTGTAAGCAAGGAGAGGTGATTAGGATACCTTCGGCAACTGATATCAACTGGCCTGTTGTTTTGAACGTGCATTTCAGAGGAAATTTGTTGTCTGCCCGCATGAAAAATAAGGAGGCCTATATAAGAAAGACTGGGATGTACAACTTGTTCTTTATCTCATGTGATCCAAAGCTCAAGGGATTGAAGGTGACTGGAAGGACATTATGGAAAAATCCTGATGGATACTTACCTGGTAGAATGTCTCCTCTCATGAAGTTTTATGTGTTTATGTCTGTTGCTTATGCAGTCCTCAGTGCCATATGGTTTTTTCAGTATGTGAGATATTGGAAAGATGTTTTGCAACTTCAGCACTGCATTGCTGTTGTTATCGCTCTTGGATTGCTTGAGATGATTTTCTGGTACTTCGATTATGCATTCTTCAACAGCACTGGAACAAGACCTGCAGGAATTACAACCTTGGTTGTAACAATTGGAGCCATTAGGAAGACCCTTCTTCGTCTTCTTATTCTTTCAGTTGCAATGGGCTTTGGTGTTGTCCGTCCTACTCTTGGCGGACTTACCACAAAGGTGCTGCTTCTCGGAATAACTTACTTCTTGGCATCTGAATTGCTTAATATTGCCGAGTATGTTGGAACCATAAACGATATAGCAGGACGAGCTAGAGTCTTTCTGGTCCTTCCTGATGCATTGCTGGATGCATTTTTGATCTTGTGGATTTTTACTTCTCTTTCGAAGACATTGGAGCAGCTACAGGTTCTCCATATTTACATTAATTTTGTCTTGAAAATAAATGGGAACTGTCATCCTTAATTCTTGTACTCTGCAACAGTGTACTGATCCATCTTGTCATACATGCTTTGCAGGCAAAAAGAAGTTCTGTAAAGTTGGATATCTACAGAAAATTTTCAAATGCATTGGCAGTGACAGTTATTGCTTCAGTTGCTTGGATATGTTATGAGGTAAATTGTTTGTTAGAATGAAACGCGTTTCAAATTTGTTCAAAATACATGGTGTGGCTTATGCTTGTGCCTTTTTATCCTGAAAATATTTAGTTACCTGTTAATTTTTACTAATGGGAGTCCCTTCTGAACTACTGTTGTCGATTGTTTGTTAAGTGATTCCTGAGAAGGAAATAATATTAGAATGTGGATTACATTTTCTAATTGTTTGGTTGCAAATTTAAGTCTTAAATTACTTGTCTATTGTAATTGTTTCTTATTCTTGATTTGTGGAAACTTTTATAAACTTTTGATGCTACAATTAGACCTGGGGATGTTACCTTCGAACAACATGTAATATTTTTCTTTGACTGATAACTATTTGGTTATTAGGGAACTTTTCAAAGATTGATTAATTAGTCATCTAATCAGTAAAGATGCCAGGAGAAGATTAAAATGTTTTCCGCAAGGACGCATGTCTAGCATTGATTGCAGTCCCTTATCAACTATGCAGCTGTAAATCGTCCTTGGGGCCCTGAGAAATCAGTTAACATGTCCACTGAAAGCACTTCATGAATCTGGACAAGTAAAATTCCGATGACATCTACTGTGGAAGATTTTTCAATTTATTAACACTGACAGGCTGAATGTTGGAAGAACAACAAGAGACGATGAGAAACTGTTTGCAATTCTTTCAATTTTTTTTTTTGTTTCCGTTCACGGCCCTGAACACTTTCTCAGTTATTTGGAAATGAGTAAATATGGGTTGTTATGTTTATTATGCTTGCTCGAACTGGAGGGTGAGAGGTCGAAGGATCATTGTGACCTTCAATCACCTGTTCTTTAGCTTAGTGAGGTACTTTGTTTCTAATATTTGTTAATTATTTCAGAATTTCTTATGCCTTTGCCATTGTTGTTCTTCACTGTTTCAGCTTTATTTCAAAGCAACAGATCCCTTCAACGAGAAGTGGCAGGGTGCTTGGATTATTACTGCCTTTTGGGACATTCTAGCATTCACATTGCTATCTGTTATCTGCTACCTCTGGGCACCATCACTGAGCTGTCAACGGTAAGCTTTAGATTTTTTGAACTCCACAATTTTCAAATGTCACAAGTTAAGAAGGCATATGTATTGCCATGAAGCTGCAAAAGTTGTGCAGGCTTCATTCTTGAACTTTCTGACTGGTACTCTATTCCCCTTTTTGACCTTTTCCTTCTTGGTTCGTTCTTCTGACATTGCAATATCACCAGTTACGCTTATGCTGGTGAAAAAGGTGACGAGCTTGATGATGAAGAAAGTGAAGCACTGTGCAGAGAAGGTGATATCAGTCTAGTGAAACAGGATAGAAAGGAAGATAGTGACTCCTCTGACTTAGAAGACGACTGATAGGAGGTTTAAAGTGGGGGAACTATTGCTGTGAGTAACCATCTGCCGCATTCAAGGATCACCTCATGGTGCAACAAGCGATAACAAATTGGGTGTGAGGCCAACTTCTCTGACTTGATGAATAGTGACTTGGTGGGATCAATTTTTCTATTGTATAGATGAAGTGTGTTGTTTGTTGCTTTGTATCAATTGAAAGCATGAAATCCTAGAGAAAGGAAGTCTTGGTGCATCAGAATGATGTTATTCATGTAAAAGTTTTGTTGTCGCCATTATAGTGAGTTCATAACAAGGTAGACCCCTGTATACTTGCTTTTCGGAATGAAAAGAAGGGTCTGAACAAAACACGGCCAGTTCTGAAGAAGCCATGTCAAATTCGGTCTTGTCTTCTCTTTATTCTTGGTCATGTTGGAACAGCTTGCTGTGTGTAAGGATGCGCATATGTTGATGCCATGACTGAGGAGTATTTTGGAGAAAAATGTGCCATTTTCTGGGTAAAAAAACTATTTATGGTAGTATCGTAGATGTTGTGCTTCTGAAGTTGCAAATTGTTTGTATGAGATTTGAGAATGTATGCGTTTGCGATACAGACCAGTGTGTACAGGGAGAACTAAAAAAAAAAAAAAAATCAATTTCACCCCTCATTTTCCTCAACACATTCTCTATTGTGCCAAACCATTGAACTCAAAATCCTTCTGATTAGTCCTTTCTCATTATATATGTAGTAGTTTGATACCGTCGAAATTAAGTAGTAGGTGAGTAGTTTCGTTGTGTTTGGGTATTTCTCAAGAAGTAGAAGAATGCCATCGCTAAAATTGACGATGATCTCCACAGATTGATTTGAACCTGTAATAAATGAATTCTAATTTTTTTTAATACTAATTGGTTTAGATCATACTATATGAATTGAATTCAAATCATACATATGTACATATATTCAACGCTGTAAATTAAAAAAATATGATTACATTAATAGCGTATACAAAGTTAATACATATTCTCGAAATAGGAGCGAATCATACGGCCAAGTGTGATTGGCTCAATAATTAAATCACAGATCAAACGACGGAGGGCCTAATGGACTCCCCGGAGAAAATGTGGGCCGGGAAACATGGTAGTTGTAGGTACTTTAGATTGGGCTGATTGGTTTACTAGATTGACGTGGTCGAGTTCCCCGACCACACCCCGACGAACACAGTCTACGTGGAACAACGAAAGTAAACATCAGCTCCGGTAAACCAATTCAGTGATGCTCTAATCACTTGCCTTTTAAAAAAAAAAAAAAAAATTTTTGTCATCTGTCTAAGTTGTCTTCCAATTTTACTCGTACATGATTAAATTTACTGAAATACAAATAAATACAGTATTTTTTTTCCACACACAGAAGAAATTTGTACTATTAAGTTAAACAAGATGGGGAGCAGGGCCAAGTACAATGGTGGCAGTGGTGTTGGCGGAGGAGGAGGCGGAGAAGACGAATTGAAGCAATTAACGGCTGAGCTGGGCAAAACCCTAAAAGAAGGAGAGAGAATACTGGCCCCAACTCGACGGCCCGACGGCACTCTCCGTAAGCCCATTAAGATTAGGGCGGGTTATGTTCCTCAAGAAGAAGTTGCCATTTATCAATCCAAAGGCTCCCTAGTAAGCCTCTTTAATCTATTTTTGTGTTTTTTGCTTTACTAAATTGCTAATATTTTCTTTGAATGGTGGATTATCATAACAGTGGAAAAAGGAGATGGCGTCGTTGCAGGATGTGCCGCCGGGGTACGATCCGGTGACGGATGCCTCCAAGCCCAAGACTAAATCCGCTAAGAGGAATGAACGAAAGAAGGAAAAGCGTTTGCAGGTTTTCTTTTCTATCCCTGCTTCTTTTATTTGGGGCACTTTTCTGGCTTTTCTGTAATGTGAATTACGGCTATTCTCATACTTAATTTATTGCCAGCAAAAGTTAATGTCGAATTTGTGTTTCAGTAATCACTACTATTATTAACTCCGTGACTGTTTAAATCTGCAATAAGAGTTCTAGAGATTACAAATCATCAAGGGTTTACCATATAATTCTTTAACAATTCGCTAGTATTAAAATGGGAACTTCTTGTAGTTATTATCGTTTTTTCATACTTGGAGTGATTTCCTTTTCTCTGCTTCTCCCATGCATTTTACCTTTCCGTTATGTGGGTTTAAGTTGTGTGACTAATGGCAGGCTGCTCTTGAAAAGGGTAAAGATTCTGAAAAAAATGATACCTCCTCGGTGGAAGATTCAAATAACGTGCTGGAGCCTGAAGGGACAATTGCATCCCAGATGAATGAGCTCAATATATCTTCAAATCCTTCCGTGGTTAATCCTCCTCCAAGTTCAGAAGAAAGTTTGACTCCAGCTGATCATGTTCAGGATATTGACAAGAAGATACGTGCATTGAAAAAGAAGGTAAAGCTGCAGTGGTTGTAGCTGCATGACTGACTGCATAGACTTCTTTAAGGTGTTTCGGACTTTATTTCTACATCTGATAATTTCCTTGGCACAATCTTTTGCGACTGAGAGTTACATGTTCTGGATAAGGTCATTTGTCATGAAAAGGGTAGGAGACAACCTCCACAAACTCAGAGAGAGAGAGAGAGAGGGAGATTATAGTAAATGGCATGGTTGCACCTATGTAAGAGGGGACTGCAAGTCTTGAAGAGGAAGCTGGTCCTCTAAGAGAAGTAGTGCAAAATCTAGAACTTCCATTTACCCCGAAATTTACGGTACACCAGCATGGGGTGATAGCTACTTCACCTCGCCAGCATGGGGTGATTGCTGCTTCACCTCGATTTATAAGGCTGAGGACTTGGGTGAGTGTCTGCTTGATGATGTGGTGGACTCATTTGTCACCTAAGTTACTTGTTTGTCATGTCATACCCTATTAAGATCATTCTATAAGGAGTATTAACATGCATATGCCACTATTGTCACTTGCAAATATCAGAACCTCCTGGTCTCACTCCTCATTTTTGCAGCAAATATGAGCACATTAACATCGCAGCGGCCAGCAACTTGTATGGTACAAGTTGCATGCAGGAAGAAATTTATGTTTATACCTGCAGGCTAACCCTGAAAGTGCTTGTGCCTAAATGGATCAGACTCCTAGATGGATAGTTTGAAGGAATTGACATTCTAATAATGTGAAACTCCTTGGCTGTTTTTATATGTAGCTTATACTTACCTGACAAAAGCTCTGAACGGTTTAACTTGGCACATAAGATATTATGCAAAAGGGGTAGTTGGTTCGACAAAAGAGTGAAACTGTTAAAGAGAGTTATGCTGAATTATTACACTTGCAGAAATATAAAATTCTAGCTGATTATTGATCCAAAAATCATTTCTTTTTTCCTTTACTTCTTTGGCCTACATTTTTTACACATATTAGGTTATATTGCTTGTGATCTGCTTCCCAATCCATAGAAGTTAATTTCTGGCTGCATTCGTTCTCTATCCTGTAGATACGGTTGACAGAAGCTCAAAAGCAGAAAACCATGGAGCAAGAGATGAACCCAGAGCAGTTGGAGAAGGTAGCAAAATTAGAAGGTTGGTGTGAAGAGTTGAAGCTTCTGGAGGATAAGAAGGCTGAACTGGTTGCTGCAGCATCCTGATTTTATAGGTTTACAAGACGCTGTTGATGCTAGTTATGTTGGTTGATGGAATGTAATCACTGCATGATAGATTTTTTTTCTTCTATCAAGATTTTGTTCTCATGAAGCCCTGCTCTCTCTCTCTCTCTCCCCACCACTCCCTCTCCCTCTCTTCCTTCCTCCCTCCCTCTCTCCCTGCAACACACAACACACACGCCCCAAAAGCAACTCCTTACTATTTTTTACAAGCAGAAGGTTTTTTTTTTCCTATATATTTTTTAATTTTTTCTTGAAGAACTTCTTCCCTTATTTTTTTTCAGGGACATCAAGCTTATAAAGTGTTAAATTCAAAAACTAAAAAGCTCGAACCAGTGTTGGACAGAAATTTGTTGGGCAAGTCAGATCTAGGCCTTTCTAATGTTAAAACAATTTTTGAACTCGTTGAATCGAACCTTCCCCAATGAGCTGTGAGAAGAATCTGATTCATTGATATAGCAATTGCCAACATAGTTATAATTTCTTTTGGTCTGTTTGATTGGCATATTTAGGCTAAATGAGACTGCTAACAAAGTGATGCACTTCCATTGGAGGCCTGATGGTAGACCTAAGTAGTGGGTCTGTTAGCATCTGCTGAAAACTGAATGTGGCTTACTAATAAGCATGAAAATGAAACCAGCTTTTGGTAAGATTTATGGCACTGTCCAGAGAGAAGGGGGGGTCGATATGTGAGAGAGAGTGGCTAGGAAATATGGTGATACTTGGTAAGGGTCATAGGAACTGGAGCAATTGGCTTCAAAGCAGCGCTTTGAACAATTGATTTGTATCTTGAGAAACAGTAGGCCGCTCTGCAAGGGGCAGTCTTCAAAACGTAAAATACTGGCATAAAGTTAAAAGAAAAAAGAGAGGACCAGATGGTGAAAATCAAGTCTTAACAAATTTGGTGCACCACAATTTGACGTTGTTTCTTCTCCAAAATTGACGTTGTTGTGTGCAGAAGTTTTGCCCATTTATTTTGAGGCGTCTCTTCTCCGGATCACTCACAATCCGAGCGAGGGTTCTCAAACCTCTTTGAGCTGGATTCGGGATTTAGAATGGACTATGGAGTTGGAGCTTGTTTTTAACGCGGCCTTCTGGTTCTGGAGTTTTGAGTTTAATATCCCATCATCATCATCATGGAAAGGTTCTTCAGCAAGAGGGCATGCAGCATTCTCTCCTCCGCCATATTATTGTCTTTCAGTTTTGTTACCATTAGTGAAGAACGTAACAAATCCAAACATTTCTGTCCTGTTAGCAAAATAAACTGAACAATATCTCATAAATCCTAGTCTTGGGATTAGTGGTCAGAAAGTTGAACTTCTGCGTAATATAATAGATTAGGGCTTCGATCCTGACTACCAGGTTTGAAGCAGGGAGTGGGAACTCAACATAAAATTCTTGTCTTGATACCAAAGATAAATATAGGTGAAGGACAAATGAAGTTAACCCTTTTTGCTCTTTTTCTTGCGATAACATGGAGTGTATTTAGATTACACATTATTTCTACCGTATTTACATGCACTGATTTGATTGTATCATCAACACATTTTTTTAATTATATTTTTATCTAATATATATCACATCAAAAAAGTACTACAGCATTTCTCCGTTTGGATTAGCTGTTTTTTGGGGTGTTTTTGAAAAACTTTGTTGTAGCAGAGTTTTTAGAGTATATTTTGAAATATTTTTAGAAAATATTTTGAAATATTTTTTATTGGCACTTTATTATGAGATATTTGGTAAAATTTTAAAAAAAATTAAACTAATTTTTAGATTATCTTTTAGAGTACTTTGTTGTAACTTTTATTGTATTTGAAAAACTAGTTTTTGAAAAACACTCCAAAAACAGGAGATCCAAACAAAGTCGGGCCGACGACCGCTCGTAAATATCAAATAATTTACTATAAAAAATATAGGGGGATTTTTCTAAGTGATGCAAGTCACGAGACAGCCGACGACCGCTCGTATTATAGCAAGCAGTAAAAATTAAAAAATAAAAGAAGTCGAAAATGTCAATGTTGTGATTTGCGAGGCAGTCTAGGAGTTCATTAAAAATTGGGCTTCGCTTCTCCGGTTGATGTCATTTTTGTTCAGTTTAGCTGATGTAATTTTTACAATATTTGGTGTTAATTTATAAGTACAGCAGCTTTAAATGATGTGATCTTGAATTTTACTTTAATTAAGTTATATGAATTACAGTAACAAATTTCAAGATTACGACAGAATTATGTCAACTGGATAGAACTGGAGGGGCCCCAAAATCAGGATTCCCCACCAAAGCCGAGGGCCAGCCAACTCGAACACTATATATACAGCCAGCCGGCGTCATTAAAAGAGGTTGCCAAGTTTCTCAACACATCCGCTAATTGGAGGCATCGTCGTCATCATCATCATCCCCATCCCCAAGAGAAGAGAAGAGCATCAAGAAAGCGAGGGGGCGACTCTTTCTTTCTCTTTGTTCTCGTTCACCGCACCGCTAACTCCTGTCGAAGAGTGACATAGAATAGAAGTTTTCAATTTCTTCTCCATCAAAGAAAACAGAAAAAGAAAAAAAAAAAGAGGAGGAAACTAGAAACGAATTGAAGAACAGCTTGCAGAGAATTCCACGAGCGGAGAGAAGAAAGAGAGATGCCGGAGCCTAGCAAAGAGCCATGTAAGAAGCAAGCTTGTGATATTCAAGCTTGCCTTACCAAGAGCAATTTCAATCCACAAAGGTACCCTTTTTCTTCTAATTTCATTTCTGCACTCATTTTTTCTTTTTTCAACAGCCTGAATCAGACTTTTCTTTTTTCTGCACTCATTTACTCTAAATAAAAAATGTACTCTAATTTTTTTCCAAAGCTACCAGATAACTGAAGAAGAAAGGTCCCCTGCTCTGTAAAAATTTTCCATCTTTTCTTCTTTGATGAACCATTAATCCTTTGCATACAAATGTGGATGGGGTGACTCTTCACTTTAGTTTCTGATATTTGTTTATATTGGTATCGACGCACACATCCTACGCCAAAGTTTGATTTTCTCTGTTATAGTACTGGAGTAGTAAATATGCGTCGTTTGGAATAGAAAATTTAGAACTTCTAGTCGATCATGTGGACCTTTTTAGCATTTCTTAGCTCATTATTAAAGGCAAGTTGATTGCCTATTAGCGCTTTTTGGAAATCTTATGATCACTCATAGTGCATAAATCGCTGATTGAAAGTATTTTCCGTGTACTGGTTCTTAGGTATTTGTAAATCTTGTTTTACTCTGAGACAAGTCCATCCTCCCAGTCCGCATCTCCATTAGAACTTGGGTGTTGATAATGGACCAATTGATTTGAGATTGTCAAGGTGCTCTTGAAATGTTGCTTCGCATCAAAAGCAAGAAAACAAATTGCTACTGTCGGTTAGAAAGACTTGAATTTAGACAGACTTACTCGAAAGTGATGAGAATTGATACATAGTGAAAATGATGACAATGGATACCTTTGTGGAAGTTGAGTTGGTTAGACACCTACAGTCTTCAGAAGTGGGCCTCTGACAGGTTTATTCATAGTAAAAATGATGAGAATGGATACCTGTGTGGAAGTTGTGGTGGTTAAGACTCTTGCAGATGGCTTCAGAAGTGTCTGCTGACTGTTATTGTGCCGGAAGATGAGTATAAAATTGTAGTTGACTGTTGAATATGTAATAGAGGAACAGTTTTATAGGCAACAGAGGCGGATAATTTTGGTACTCTTTAGTTTCAGCGTTCTTTAACCGAAAGAAATATCAGCGGCTTAAATGATGTGGTATCTCATCATTGCGGATGTGATAAAAATTGCATGACATGTTTTCAGCTTTTTACTCTGATTAGGATGTGAATCATGCCACTTTCAGTTCTACATTATTTGTAAACCTCTTCCTGAAGTCATACTCATTTACCCAGAAATGACACCTTGTCCATGTAAATTGTGTCAAAATGTTGCCTTTATGACCTTGGAAACTATTTTCTGTCTATTATTATTCCATATTAGACTTCCAACAAAAACAGAACTACACCAAACCTGGTTTTTGGGGACAAGGAAACATCTTTTATTAATCTATCAAACATATGAAAGGAAAATTTGGCGCAAAGCATTTGCAAACACTGGATCTTCTTTTGACTAATATTAGTTGTTTCAGACACTGAGGCATGTAGTAGGGAATAACACATTTGAAAAGGTGTCATACTCTTTTTGTTTATTAAATTTACCTGTGTCTTTTTATTAGAGTGGCCCTTTAGGTTTTCTTGTTATCAAAATTGAATCTTTTTAATTAGCTAAGTTACATTTTAAAGCTCTCTTTATCATTCCTATTTCTTTGTGAACTAATCCTTTGTGACTATCCAGTCAAATGTGAAGTTCCCAACCTTCCTCAGACCCCAATTAAGGTCCTCTTGTATGATTTCAACTCAAGAATATTAGTGACCTATATGCATCCAGAAATCTTGTATTTAAAAAAAAATTGTCCTTTTCTCCATTATCTCCTTGATAGGTTTATGGATGCTAATTATCCTTATAGTTGCCCTGCTTGGTTTCTGAACCACAAAAGCAGGCATTCTCCTGATTCAAAGAATTCAAAACAAAAAATTCATGCAGACTCATTACATCATGATTGAATTGGTTTTAGTTAATTTTCTGGCTTGTGTTCTTAAATTCGTTTTCTTGATCGATGCATCTGTTAAGTGCACTACTACACCTGACAAAAAGTTTCTGAAAGTTATGCTTTAAGGGAGAGATGCATAATGTACCCTTTCAGACTATTGGTGGCTTTTCGCTTGAAGAGAGTTATTTATGGACTGAGGCCTTGTTTGTAATTGTCAAATATGGTTGGCTTTTGAACTCCTCTCCTCTATCAGGCCTAGGTCCAGAGTTCCCCATGGTACACATCCCTCTTCTGGGTGTGGAACGGTATACGAGCGAGAAATAAATAGAATTACCTGCTACTTTGCTAATGTTACAATCTTGCTGTCAGAAAAGCAAGTAGGAGTTCTGCTAAGCCAGTCGCAAGCGTCACTAAATCTGCATCATAACTGATGCTTGAAAAACATAAAATGAATATAGATTTAGCCTCTGCTGGCAAGTGAGAATAC